CTATTGCTCTTGAGATTGTAAATTTGCTGTGGGTAAGGCTGTCACTTAAGGTTTGTATTTAGCTGCTCCCGATTATATGACATTGTATATTGCTGTTATATATATAGTAAAAAAACTATTTCCAGTTTAGCCTCTGGTAAAACCAAGTCACAGTTGATTCAGATGATATAACAAAGTATTTGTTCATTTTTTTATCAAACTAAAAATAGATAAATATAATTAATTTTTTAACATTTTGTTTTGGAAGGTATTGCATGTTATATTTTTTTAGGAATCCATTCTCATTTTTATAATATAGATTTGTAAATTTCAGTGGTGTTTTTTTTAATCAAAATGAGAGTTATAGATTTGACGTTCTTTGCTTGAGTTATTTCAAGAATCTTCAAGTTCATTGTATAACACTGAAAGCTTGTAGACCATTGTACCCTGTAAATAATTAATTAGGGGATGGAAACATACAGACATTTTCATTTCCTAGTCATTCTGGATATGCAATGGCTTACTGTCTGACTCATATTCCTAAATTAGTGTAAACAATACACTGTTGTATAATGCACAAGCTCTAGAATTATCACACACATTAGAGCAACTTTGTAGTTTAAATACTCAACAATTATAGGAAGTTACTATACAAATAGGTAGATGATCTATGAAAAGGCTGAGCCTGTAGTTGTGGGAGTGGATATTGCTATAAATACACAGGTCGCCCCTTCCTCTAGGCTGAGACTGTCTGGTTCAGTACAGATCCATTTACATCCAGTTCAAAGGTCATCAACACAAACTGCCTAAACTCAAAACAAGCAAGTCTTGGCCTAGTGCGGCCCATGCAAGTATTAATTTAACCTCACTCTAGTAAAGAGCCTCCTCCCTCGAAGCTTATGGGACACCTCTGTGTCTGGCCCAGCCGTGGCTGTTATTATTCACACATTTTATTCATTTATTTTCTCTACAAAACTGTAAGTTTGTTTATTCGGATATGGCAAATTTCACTACTAATGCACATTCAGCCTATTTCAGTCGTACAAAGCTATGCCTCAATTAGGTTCATGCTTTTACTTACTGTATTTGGCCAAATCGACTTTTATCAAATGCAATTCGGTTGTCACCCTTCCCAACCGCGCAGGTTTTCCTTATACAGTACAACCTCATCCACTTTTTAGACATGGTTAACATTTCGGCCCACCTAGAGCACTAATTTTATCGGTTGCACAAACACGTGTCAATCATATTTAGCCATATTAGGCCAGCTCAGGTATTGTGATTACTTTTACTGTCTTATTTGTAGGGTCTACATATAATGCATTATGTAAACCTCATTTAGTCATGTTCAGTTTAAGCATGAAGTTATAGCTGATGTTGATATTACTGGGATAGTCTACCATTGTTCTATCATTTGCTGTTGCTTTCAACCCTATTTTTCCATGCCAGTTGTGTATGCATAAGTGTTTATCATCCTCCTAAGCATTCCGCATATTTTTAACGTATATCTTATATCTCCTGTCTCTTCCTATGTATTGTGCACGGCTGTCACGGCTGCTAGCCTGTTCAGCCACTGTATCGACAACATACCTACCCTTAAGAACCTCATTTGGCCAATCTGATGGGGTAATTGTAATCCCTCATTATGTACATATTATCTTTACCTCATATTAAGCCCTTCAGTTCTCCTATATCTATTTAGGCGAGTTTATTATATCCTTCATAGATATATTGAAACTGCTCACATATAGGAAGGTTGTGAGTAAATGTTAAACTGGTCTTGTTTCAGGTTGAATGCTTTCCCACACAGCCATACTGGACCTTCATTTCATTCTCATCATATGGCCCTCTGTAGGCAGCCCAATATGACCAATTCAGCCATATCATTTGGGCTTTGCATAAGTACCTTGCTGCTTCATGGGGGTTACATGTATGCACCACTCTTTCTTACAACATTTCATTGCACCACTTATACTCGCTAGGTCTATACCAACCAGTCTATACGGCCCTAACTTGGCCTGCAAAACTCCATGGTACGTTAATTCCTTATGCTATACATTGTATCCTTACTTCACATACTGTCACTTTGTAGTTGCACAGTATGGAAATGCTATGTCTCAAGTCACCTACATTGAGACACCACATAATCTATTGTGTTGGTTGTATACTGGTCATCCGTTGGCATGGGCCTTATAGTCAGCATCCACTGCATGCCACATTACCATCCTTCTAGCCTAACTACTATTCCTTCCTTTACAAATGGACTGGACCAAACACTAGGGCTCCACTATTGGTCATTTCACAATACCTGTACCTTGGTATGCTTATCCTTCTTTTGTTTATTAAATACATCTGTACCCCTCATATTGCCCTATTTCTCCATCCAGCAGCTCAGGACTAACATTGAGCACTCTGCCTTCTGCTACAATACCTCTACACATGGCCCTCACTAGGCCTTCACTCCATATGTTTACACATGGCCCTCCACGGGAACTACGACAATTTGGACCCCCCTTATTTGGGCAATTACTTATGTCATTGGCCTGATATATGAGGGTCAAAGAAATACAACCTTTCATATTACATTCCAATATTTCACATAGCCTCGTTAGGCCCACGCAAGTCTTTTCCATATGGCCCTCTCTTGGCACAGTTCCAAGAACCTGTAAACTATTATTAAGCATTTTACATATCCAGGCCTCTTAAGTCTGTCACTATTTTAATGGTTTAGGACTTCCACTTTAAGGCACTTGCTAGTTCTGGTATTTCGCTTCTTGCAATACGCTATGGGATTTGATTAGATGTGATGGTTGGTTATTTCTCAGGGTGTTCTTTTTCATACATAATTCAGGTCCCTCTAGTGGAAGGATGTGCAGTGGGAACTCATGCCTAGATTCGGTACAATCAGCTTTTGATGTAAACTGTTAATTTTCAGTTACTCCACATGTCTGCACTGTTATGTTTTATATTATGCCTTTCTGTCACTATCCCTACTTGATCCAAACTTGCAGCTAGTTATCTTCAACCTGATAATTTATGAACTGTACCCTCACCTCTTGACATATACTTCACAGTGGTCTTGTTGTTCAATTTTTCTGGTCACCTCCTTAATGGCCTATATCATTAAAGTGCAACAAGTGCAAAAAATCGTGCAATAAGAAGTGTCTAAAATCACACTCAGTATAACAAATGTGCAAAAATTGCAAGTGAATAGTGATAAAAATACAAATGGTAACTTACAGCAGGAAAATATGTCTCAATATAAATTGCATTTGGTTATTCCAAAGTAGGAGATATGGTACATAAAAAAGAAAAAGCATATAGCATAATACTGTTTAAAATAAATAAAACAGCCAAGAGAAATGGAATAAAACTCACAAGGAAAGAGCAGTAGAAGTCTGCTCTAACTTGTCCAGCATGTAATCCACAGCATAGGGATTTGATGGTAGTAAAAAGCAGGACGCCAGCTGAATAAAACGATCTTTATTTCTTCCAATAAAAATACTCCCTTTGCCCCATAGAAGGCCAGTGTCCCATTCAATACTTAGAAAAAATGAACACACCAAAATTCACGGTCTCTGCAGCTTGCGGCACTATACAAGGCACTTCCTTGTATACAAGTCATACTATGTAGAAGTGAAAATTTGACAGATTTAGATAAAGAGGTTAAAGAAATACAAAAAGTATTGGAACCAGCAGTTGAGACTAAAGATTATGAGGAATTGACCAAATCTACTAAAGCTAATCTCAATAAATTAGAAGATCAGGTGAAACAAATGAAATATAAAAAGTACAAAAGAGATATGGACGATTATAAGTATAAAAAAGTAAGAAATTATTATCAAAATAACTATACTGACCGAAAAAACAATAAGTATGGGAATCGAAGATCGAATGACTATAATTTTAAATATAATTCTAAACAAAATGGATATAATAGAAGGAGAATAGACAGTTTTGATACCCCCAAATGGGACAATCCTAAGTGGAGAACCCCTGAAGTCAATAAGGGGAATGAATGGAAGAGAGTGGAATTTAGGAATAGGCACCATAATAGATTTGAAAGAAATAAGAGCCCCCCATATAAAAATAGGGATCTAACATTATCAAACAGATATGAAGCTTTGTCACGAGATCAATCAGACTCTAGAGAAAATGATTTTTTAGGGAAACCAAGAGGAAAGGTTTCCTTTTCTCCCCTGAAAAGAAGAAGAGTCAGAGAGGATGTAGAGGAGGAACAAGACTACAACAGCGAAAAGAAAGGAAGAATGTCCAATTGGAGGGAGTAATTAACTTATCTAAATTTGTTCTGAATAATGATGAAATTAGAACTCTGAATAAGGGCCTAAAATTTGCTCCCAGCAAAAATTTCAATTCTTTCTCAGCTTATGTAGATATATTGAAATACTCTAGAACGTTAACTTTAAAGAGATTTTTTGAAATTAATAAGTACACAGACACTAGAAAAAGTGATAATCATACCGACTTAAAAAATAAATCAAATTTCTATCCTAGAAATTATCGTACAAGTGCCATAGATATTTTTGAAAAATCTGTCATTGATGATTTTGATAAATTAGGGAAATGTAATCATAGACGCAATTTAAATTTAAGTTTTAATGAACATAAAGCCCTACAAAACCTAAGAAATAATAAAGAAATAACAATTAAGCCCGCTGATAAGGGGGGCAGTATTGTGATCCAGGATACTACTAATTACCTAAAGGAATGTCATAGACAATTAGAGGATAAAAGGATATATAGGGTATTAGAAAAAGATCCGACATCTGACATAAAATCTTCACTAGAGATCCTGTTAAAAAGAGGAAAAGACGAAGGTATTTTAAATGACAACGAATATAATTTTTTATTAGTTGAATTCCCTAGAGTGCCTGTATTTTATACCCTGCCCAAGGTGCACAAAAATTTAGAGAACCCTCCGGGTAGGCCAATTGTGTCCGGTATTGGATCCATTTCAGCTAACCTCTCAAAATATGTGGATATCTGGCTACAAAATCTAGTTAAGGAAATGCCATCATATCTTAAGGACACTACGGATGTAATTAAAATTATAAAAAATATTAAATGGGAAAATGGATACTTTCTAGTAACTTCTGATGTAACGGCACTTTATACCTCTATTTCTCACGAGAAGGGATGTAAAATGATTCAAGAATGTTTAGAAAAATCAAGTAATTTTAGTAATATACATATTTTATTTCTTATAGATAGCATTAGATGGATTTTAGAAAATAATTATTTTAATTTTAATTCTAAATTTTATTTACAACTACAAGGTACGGCTATGGGGACCAGGTTCGCCCCTAGTTACGCTAATTTATTCATGTCAGGTTGGGAATCGGAAGTTATTTATAACAGCCATAATTGGGGGACGAACCTGGTCTCCTACCATAGATATATCAATGATATATTTTTTATATGGAAGGGCACACAATTGGATTTAGAACTTTTTTTTAGCAAGTATTAATCTAAATGAGTGGGGTTTACATGTTAGCAGTTCTTTTAGCAGTCAGAATATTCATTTTTTAGATTTGGAAATTTATGAAGAAGCCGGCATTTTAAAAACAATTTAAAAAAAAAAAAAAAAGTAGATGCCAATAGCTATGTATTATATAATAGCGGGCACTATACCCCCTGGCTCAATAATATTCCAAAAGGTCAATTACAAAGGATAAGAAGGAACTGCACTGAACAGAATGTTTTTGAAGAGCAAGCAAAAATAGTAATAGATAAATTCTCCCAAAAACAATATCCCACTGATATACTAAATAGGGCATATGATGAAATTAAAGACTTGGAGCAGAACCAATTGGTTTTTAGACAAAGCAATTATAACAAAGGACAAGAGAAATTTAATAAAGTACCTTTAGTTTTAGATTTTTTTCAGGATTTTAAAAGAGTTAAATCTATTATTAATAAACACTGGCACCTTTTAAAAAAGGATAGAGAATTATCGGTAATTATCCCAGAGAAACCTTTCATCACTTTTAGAGGTGCACCTAGTTTAAAGCAGATTTTGACTTTTAACCATCCAAGAAAGGAAGTACCCGATACGTTTTTAAGTGTGAATAGAAAAGGTTTCTATTCATGTGGAAAATGTGTAGGATGTAAATGCAGTAAAAACAACACTATAAAAGGGATTAGTAAATTTAAGACAAAATATACACCAGAAGAATATACCATTAGGGATTTTATTACTTGTTTTACTAAAAACATTATATACCTTTTAATATGTCCATGCGGACTTGAATATGTGGGCAGAACTATTCGCCCTCTACATAAGAGAATTTATGAACATGTCAATAATGTCCGAAAAGGTATAGACCATCATAGTGTGTCCGCTCATTTTAAAAAATATCATAATAAAGACCCCAGTGGCCTCACATTTTTAGGAATTCAAATTGTTAAAAAACCATGGCGAGGAGGCAATTTTATTCAATGTATAGGAAAAGAAGAGATGAAGTGGGTTCATACACTGGATACCCTTGAACCTAAAGGTCTTAATATTGAATTTGATTTGTATAATTTTATTTTATGAATTTTATATCTTAGATTAATTTTCTATCTGATAATAATCCCTTTTCCTTCTCTCCTTCTGTTAGTAGGTGCATTTATATAACTGCATTTATGTATTTTAATGGAGATTTTTCTGTTTTTGAGATTTTAATATGGTTAAGTATATTTAATATGTTTATGACATTCCATTTTTGTTGATTGGGACATCCATGTATTTTGGTTATTATGTATACTATTATTCTCTTGTTATATTTTATTTATTTTATACATTTTTTGGGACTTCTCTATATAGACATTTAGGGGATCTACCCCGTTTGTATAAGACTTTGGCATTCATTTGCATATCTCACGCCCATAATATGGGCTTTAAAAGCCAGGACCAGCTGTATCAGGACGTGATCTGAGGAAGCCTTTTTCGGGCGAAACGCGTCATCACGTTCACATACGACGTCATCACGTTATCACGTGACCGCACGGAACTCCGAACACGGAAGTGCCTTGTATAGTGCTGCAAGCTGCAGAGACCGTGAATTTTGGTGTGTTCATTTTTTCTAAGTATTGAATGGGACACTGGCCTTCTATGGGGCAAAGGGAGTATTTTTATTGGAAGAAATAAAGATCGTTTTATTCAGCTGGCGTCCTGCTTTTTACTACCATCAAATCCCTATGCTGTGGATTACATGCTGGAAAAGTTAGAGCAGACTTCTACTGCTCTTTCCTTGTGAGTTTTATTCCATTTCTCTTGGCTGTTTTATTTATTTTAAACAGTATTATGCTATATGCTTTTTCTTTTTTATGTACCATATCTCCTACTTTGGAATAACCAAATGCAATTTATATTGAGACATATTTTCCTGCTGTAAGTTACCATTTGTGTTTTTATCACTATTCACTTGCAATTTTTGCACATTTGTTATACTGAGTGTGATTTTAGACACTTCTTATTGCACGATTTTTTGCACTTGTTGCACTTTAAATTTTAAAGGTACAGCGCACCTTTTTTTGTTTTATATTCTTTGTAAGGTGTTTTTTGAGCTTGTGCACTTTTAGGTGCTGCTCTACCTTTATTCTTAACATTTGCACTTATATATTTATAATTTTAGCGCCTATATTGTTTGTTTGTTTGTTTGTGGCCTATATCATTATGCCAAGTCTCGTTAGGTATACTTTATACCGACCATTGCATATCTGAGGGTACTTTTGCATGTATGGTCAACTGAGTCATTTATTACACTGTTCAATTTCCTTTGGTTAGTTTGGTAACAGATATTAAAAGAGTATTTTGTGTCTTGGGCTCATTGCACTTACTTTACCTATCTTACCGGTGATCTCTTTTGCATTTTCATTAGTGTTGGTGTCATAGTTCTGTATTATAAACACTAAGTTCTTGGGTTTCTCTCAGTTTGATTTTGGTTTTGGATCTCTGTTGACCTTCTTTTTTGCCTTATTTCTATACACCTATTCTATTCATCAACTTCTAGCATAGCTTTCATTTATCTGCCAGGTGTATGTCTAATCATGCCTCATTTATTGTTTTGCATTTATGTTTTTCAAATCACCACGTAAGTGACTGGCTTTACGATACTACCTCCCTTCTTACAACAACCACTCGCTCTACAGAATTTATCTTTAGCTTGGTCTGGCTTTTAGGGTACCCTAAGTGGCCATAGGTAGTTTTAGGCTTCTTGTGCCATTATATAGCTGTCCCACAAGGCCAACTCCCATCCTCACTTGCGGAGGTATTCGCCCCTCCGGTCAAATCATAGTTACTGCCTCGCTTTTTTGCCCTCTTGGCAAAAGCAGTTAGGGCCTCACCAGTCATGGCCAACTTATTTTGAATCTCTTTAATCCTCACCAAGAGGCCAACACCCCTCCACAACGTTCGGTGGCAACTAGTTAGGTTCCCAAGTCACCAATTTAGCTTAATTGTTTTGCCACTTGGAATAACATAGGTCAGCCAGTATCTTGGTGTTATAGAGAATCTCCCAATAACAAATTTTCTCTTTCAGGTATGGTTATAAATGCTGATAAAATGCAAAGTATTGATTGCGTAATGTAGACACGTATTAAAGTGTTAAACTATTAACTTTTTGCCCTCTTTTTACAGGCCTACCCAAATGTCCATTTCGGGCACACCACAACCAACTTGTGCAACATTAATATAACTCGGCTTATTGTCCCCAACCACAAATGGAAAGGCTGAGCCTGTAGTTTATATTGCTATCAATACACAGGTAGTCCCTTTCTCTGGGCTGAGACTCCCTTTATGAAGCCATTTAAATTGGTGGGCCCTCTTTTTACAGGCCTACCCGAATGTCAGTTTCGGCACACCACAACCGACTTGTGCATCACTAACATAACTCGGCTTATTGTCACCGAACACAAATAGGATAATAGGACCTCCCTCCATATTTATCTAATTACTTATTTATAGTAATGTTTTTTCATAAGGTCCATTCATTATATTCTTTATTAGGGAAATAATAAGAATTTGTGTGATAAAATTGTGATATTTTTACTGCTGTTTTAGGGGTAATCTGATACATTTTGAAGCACTGGAAAAGAGGGCTAATAAAAGTAAAATTGATCCTTTGCAAACATTTAGAGCATAGTAAATATAGTATGTATAAAGATTACTCCGTTCTAGGTATGCAAAATGTTGACTTTTAAAAGACAAAAATCCTTGGATGAATTTGCTCTGGTGAATACAAACACCATAATTATAAACAACAGAAATAGGCAAGCAGAATTTAATATTATTATTATTATTATTATTAACACTTTTTTTTTTTTACTATGGAGGGTGCATTAAATGTTTTCCTAGTCTAGTTCTTGATATTGAATGCATTATAAATCCAGAAAGAATTTGTATAAAAATGGAAATTAATTAAGGTGATTCTATACCATGCTGACCATCATTTTATAATCAAGTGGTAAAGCATTCTGATGATATTAGCTGCAACAGAAAAATGAATAATTTAAAGATGATACTTCAAACAGACCAGCTGTAACTGTGCAGGGTCATTAGACATGCTGTGACTTTGGACCAGTGAATGACCTCTAAGCAGGTAATTCGTGGTTTAAAAAATAATGGTTTTTAAAAACAAAAAGCAAAGCAGGATTTTAGTGTGGTCTTCGTATAACCAATCTTTCTTTGCATGTTAGACATATTTGAATTAATGCTGTTTTAAATTCTAGTGATTTCTTCATTTGTAAGCTTAGTGTAAGCTGAGCAACCCCCTGCTTGTGCTAAATAAAATAAAAAGGTTTCCAGTCAATTTCCATTTCTTTCTGATTTATTAATACTGCCTTCTCTTAGGATAGGATGTGATCATAGAATAATGAACAGTTTTGTGATTTCACTCCACTACTATTTGAGAAACAAACAGTTGACTATGAAAACCAATATTTTGCTATTCTTTCCCACTTGCTCAAGTATCCAGATGTTTGGTTAAACCCATTTCTCTATGGCATGTGAGCCGAGGGGCTTTGGAACCCCATAGTCCAGAAGGAAAAGGAGGGGGGGCATTCAGCACCCTCTATACAGCTGTTTGCTAACGAGGTTGATTAAGGTGGGACTATTTGTCTTGTCTCCCTGGTTGGTGTGATTCTTAGATATCCCCATTTACCTGCTTATTTTATGGAAATATATTTTCCAAGCTCTATCCTGGTTATTGAAGGAGTATGTGGACAATTGCTTATTGTTTCACACAAGGGCTCATGACAAGTGAGTTAAGTGCTTATTTTTGTTTGCAGGTGGATGGGAGGGATTTTGCCGCCCACATCTGAAGTTAACAGCCTATATGTAAGGTAACAATAGTTCTAAAAATTGTTCGAGTCTCTCTATGGGTTGAAATTTTTGGAAATACAAATGTGCTTGCAAAGAAGGTGTTAACAGGATCTATTATTAGCGATGACTCTAGGAGCTTACAATGTGCACATTT